AACTGTAATACTTATGAAACTTGAGAAGCTTTTTTCATGTGGTGTTTCAAATGTCTCAGTGTGCAAGAAAAGGAAAATCTAACTCCGTGTTTAAGTACTTCATTTAAAAACAGAGACCTATGGTTCTCTTGATCATGTATCCCACCCCTAAATAATCTTGGAAACTTTAATTTACATAAAAGATGTTTTTTCTTATATTAAAAAAATACAAATAATAGGTGTTCGCATTAAAAAAAATAACTTTCCTTCATTAAAGATGGACATAGCAAAACTGTTGGAGCATTCTATCCCTATTTTCTTTACAGTATTTAGTACTACAGTTATTTTTATCAAATGAGGATTGAAACTATGTTTTCTGACTTAATTTGCTGAAAAATGCCTTCTTACAGTGAGATGTTTCCTAGAGTCAAAGATAAATATTAGTGAAATCCTCTAAAACCAAAGGCTGGTAATATTTTCTTTTAGCATAGTCCTGTATTCACTGCAATGCTTCTGACATTTTGCAAGTTTGTGAGGCATCATTACATGCAGGCAATTCCTGCGTTTAATGAAAGGTTGTATCTCCAAAATATGCACAAAATATATACTGGAATACATGTACATAAAAATGCTATTATATCTTAAAAATCTGACTGCTAATTATTCTTCTAAAGGAAAAAATGTGAATTCTTACAGTATTAGAAAATGCTAGAAAGTTAAATATTTATCTTTATTTTGAATGCTCAGTATGTTACTTTTTTTAACAGAAATTTCTTGTTCATCCTACTTACACATCCTACAATGGATAGTATTGCTGAAATGGGATATGCAGAGATTCTGCTAATACAAAATTATTGAAAATTAACAAATCAGAGAGTATGCTATAAAGAACTAAGCACAAAATTAACCTACTGAGGGTATATATTATTCAAAGTGTTAGTTACTTATTTTCTTTTATATCTATTTCCTGGAATTTTTGTTTAAGTTCAGACTGAAATATGACAAAAAAAAACACTCTTAATTGAAAATTTTGTCTTAGTATGTTCTCAGTAACATTTACTGGTTTAAACAGTCTTGTTACCTCTCTTTAGCAATAATATTAAGCTGATGTTTAAGATCTGTGTTTAAGAGTTGCATTTTAACACAGCACTTTTTGTAAAACCACCAAAGGCAATGAAGTCCTGTGGATAACATGAAAACATCATCTCAGTGATATTACAGCACCTCAGCTGGATGAGTTCCAGTGCCCTGCTGGAAGACGTTATCTGTAACGTGGGGAATATATAATTTACCTCCACTGAAGTTAGTTTTTCACCATAATCTAGTCAGTGGTAAACTCACCTCATGGATAGACAGGGTGTTATTATAGAATAGGTGTTATTACTGCAAGTTTTAAGGTACTATTACTGCAGTTTACAGGCTGCAACATAAAATCACTTTTAACATTTCCTTTTTCCTTTTCATAGGATATTAAAGTCTTTCTCCAAAGATCCAAAGAAGCACAATCAATTGATGAGGAGCAAAACAGGTGTGAAGACATCAATGTATGAAAAACTACTGTTCATGAACATTAGAAATCTTTTTTCCCAAATTCTGTAAGAAATGTGTCTTTCAGGTCCAGTCCTCTCTTCTGTGAGAAAAGTTTTTCTGTTTATTTTTGCAAGGGCAAAATCCCATTCCAACTACATGTTTTCTGTTACTTTAAATTTAAAAAAAATCAAAACAACAAAACCACCAACAGGAAAAGTTACAGTTTGCTCATCTTAAATAGTCTGATGATATTTCTAAATAAAATTAAACCAATTTCTGAATTTAGATAGAATTGGTAGTGTCTTCATTAAGATTTGGTTAAAGAAAAGAATATGTCCCATTCTTCGAAATGCACTAAGATATCTATTCAGCTTTTGTTATATGTACAGTTAATTAATTATTTGTAATTAATTAAATGCTGTAATCAATTAATCTTTTTAAAACATGTTGCAACTTCTAGCTAATAAAATAAATGAAAACAATTTCCTCTGAGACGAGGATAAACTGGGCATCACATTCATGAAAATGATTTGTTTGTTGACAGTGGAGATGATGAATCTTTGCCACTGAACCTTTCTTTTTCTAACCTTGCAGTACATCTCAACTCTACCACCTGCTAAAGACCTGCTTGCAGTCCTTTTTTTTATTGACACACGGCTTTTATTGACACACAAGGGCACCATATACTCCAGTAAGACTCAGACTTCATATAGAAAAAGAAACACCCACTTCAGCTTTTTCTATATGAAGTCTGAGTCTTACTGGTTTTCCTGAATAACAGGATCTTTGTGTTTAAATGCAGTTTTATCCAATTTCTCCGTTCTCTTGTGTCTAGTGATGGCTGACTGTAAGTAGATAGGAACTGTTTTTTCATGGATCTTTGTGACATACATTTCAGAATACCCTTTGTAAATAATTCCCCTAGATTTGAAAACGGAGATGCGTAAAAATATCTCTGTTTTCAGTGGTATTCTGGTATTCTACTGATCTACACTTGACTACAGTCAAGTTTTCTGAACACTAAACATAGGAAACTTATAACTGTGATTATCTGAACTCAGTATAGGGTCTAATTTTCAGTCTGTCAGCTGCCCAAGATATTAGCAAACCTCCAGCATTCTTCACTGTCTTAGTAGCTTGTATGTGAACACTGCTCATTCATTCTGGGTATATTTTTTTCTGTATTCATCATTGCCCTCATAAAATTGTACAAAATGTTTAATGGTTCTTTTCCATGGTTTGATTCAGCAAAGTATTTGAACATATGATGCTTTTTAAGAATACAAATAATCCCATTGAAATAATATAACCCACAGGGGACCACAAACCTTTACCCTTTGCTGAGAATGTTATCTGCACAGAATATTTTTTCATTTTAATATATCTTCATTACTTTTTAGCCAAGTGTGCATGAGATAGTATAGTACCCACATATGATGATGTTCCTTGTGAGATTTCTAGACTGCTTTTTTGAGTTATAAAACAATTGTGTATCAAAAATGCAATAGCAGCATATTAAAAAAAAAGACGAAAGGTTAGACAACAACTAAGAGACCAGATAAATAAATTTATCTCACAGCAAATGTTTTTTCAGATTTTTAGAGCCCGATGTCAATAATGGCAGGTTTATTTCTTTGTTGATTAAATTTTGAATTAAAAATTTAAATTAACATTTTGAAAAGAAAGTCTAAGGATAGCAGATCAAAGCATCTATATGTGATGTATGAATCTCAGGAAAGAAGCCAGTCAGCTTATCTCTTCAGGCAAAAAATGTTAATATCTCTTCAGACTACATATTTTGTGCTAACCACACCAGCACAGAAACAGATGTAACTTTGTTGTGCCCCCACAAACCATGCTAAAACCTCAACATCCTTGTTTTAGATGTGACAACAGACTTTATGATATACATACAAATTATTCTTTCTACCAGAAGAATTTCTTCACAGAACATATACAATTTAGTCAGTTTCATCCCCAATATTTTTTAAACATTACCTGTATATATTCACACAAGAATTTGGGTTTTTACTCCATATTAAAATATAGAATGAATAAAAACAATTATAATGGAGTTCTCTTGTCTTTTGCATATTTCATAATCTTTAAATTGTTTCTTTTCTTCCAAATTTAATTTCTTATTAAAAAACAGCTTTAATTACTAAGTGTTTAATTCTGCCTTTGCATACTAGTGATCTCCATGAGCAAACAAAAAAGGTATTATTTTCAAAAAACCCTCCCTACAGTTCATAAACCTGAGAGAAGGAAGAAGCTTCAGCTACTGAAAATTATATATTGCTATATAGTTAAGATTCTTCATGTATTCCTCCCTTCTCATACACTGCTCCTATATTTTACCTGTGATTTAGAATGTGACATAAAATCATTACTGATAATGATAATGAAATTAAGTGCAGATTGCAGAGCAGTGTAAAATAGTAAAAAGTGAATTAAGTTATATGAGGTGTCAAGCTTCATGCAGTGAGCACATACTCCTCTATGGGAAAGTAAAGGTGTCATTTACAAAGCAAAGAATGTATGCCCTGACAATTGCAATGTATTTTTTCAACTTGAGTATGGCTGAGTATCACAAGAGTTATTAAAGAGATGTTGAGTTCCAGCCCAGCTGTGACCCAGACATGAAAGAGGTCCTTGTTGTTACGGAGGGGGAATGCTGAGTAGTTTTGCATTCAGATGGAGCAGGAGAGTTACAGTTACATCGTGTTCAGCTTTGATAGCTACACTTCAGGCAGGATAGCTGAAACTAAAAAGTATTCAGAGAATATTGTCAAGAATGGTAGGAAATCATGTTTTATATAAGAAAGTACGGAGAGCTTGGTCTCTTTACATCACCAAAGGAAATTGGGATTTCAGATATCATTTTTACAAGAACCTATCTTCATTCTGGTAGACACCACTAAGATTCAATGGCTGGAACCCTTGGCTTCAAAACATGTAGCAGACTTTTAATAGATTTATAATTTTTCATAGTAGATGAACTGTTGAAGCAACTAGCTAAATGAACCAGTTTCCTCATCAGAGTTGTAAAATCCAGATAGGTAATTCTTTCAGACACAATTTGTGATAGGAACTAAAAGAAGAAATAACTGCCCTTTTGATATTAACATACAGAGTTTAAAACTGTACCTGAAAGGCTAGTTTGGCTTTCAGTTAATTGTATGCAGCATGCTCAATCCTGTTTTCACAGCCTGATGTCTTTTAATGTTTACTCCTTAATTATACTTATGTCAGATATTCTTGTCTATGCTGCATAGAAAATACCTTGGATGGTTTGATTTAGAAAAGATGGAACAAAGGTTATGTTATCAATGCTCTCATAATAATTAAAAGTAATTGTATTCCATCTGTGGAAAAATCTTCTTTCAAAAAAGCTGCAAACCAAAAGGTGCTGCTGAATTAGGATGTTTTCTATACTTTTATTAATTTGCATAAAATCTCCCAG